ATCACAAATTGTGAAATACTCTGAGCATTGACTATAAAATGGAATGGACTTGATCCGTGAGTATTCTCCGAGCAATCGTCTCAAGTGCGTTTTTGATCGTTGCGCCCTGATTAGAAATAGTGCCAACAACGCACAAACCAAGTCGCTGCTAGTTTGTGATCACATGAACAATAATCGTTTTCAGATCTGGGATTCTTGTATCTTTACTAGATAATAAGCCACAACCTGCTTATAATTTTTACGAATCCCTCTTATCATGGAAGTAAGGGCATGATTTCTGATAAATCACTTTTTCAGAGTTCTAGTTGATTTTGTTACCTCAGAATTCAAGATTTATTAGCTGAAAATTGTACACTGTGAGCACTGGGATCAGCCCTAAACTTTGTCCAAACCCTGCATAATCGTAAACACTAAACAAGGGTAGACTATTTCTAGTTTAACTGCCTGAAGATTTTCTCTATGGTTTATACGTAACTCTCCACCTATTATCTCATTTTTGTACATGTTCTGGGAGAACTCAACTTGCTCCCTATAAAATGCAACGTCTTCCTGCACAGGTGGTTCTGGTTAAGTGCCAGCCTGCTTCGGGTTTGTAATTAGTTGTTGCAATTTTCTGATTTCGTCGTCCTTTTTCATAATCCAGATTTCGTTTTGGCATTCCAGTTCAGCCATTTGATCCTGAAGCTCTTTTATAGTAGAATCATTATGGCATCGTATATCTGAGATTTTAAATGAGTGGTTGACCTCACGTTGGTTACTCTCGTCCATCAGACTCTTTACGTCATTTCTCAGTTTAGATTCAAGTTCTTTTAGGAAGCCAATTTCATCTTGCAGTTCAGCAATGTGTGACATCGTTACATCAGTTTGTGCAGCAGCACTTAAAGAATGTTGCTATCTTCGTACTCAGCGTCAAGCATAGCTTCTAAGTCTGCAACCTTCTTTTTTGACTCAATATTTTGAGCTTCAAGAGATGGTTTAGGGCTCTCTGATCTTCCTAGGTTCTTCAGTTGAGTACGCAGCATCTCTATTTCTGACTCGTATGTTTTTAGTCTTTTTATTATTTTTTTCCAGAAAATCGAGTCTGTATTGCAAGTCGATGAAATTCTTGCGCTTTTTGAGAATTTTTTTGAACTCTTTCTATTTCTTCGTTGTACGCATCCGTTACTTGGCGGAGTTCCTGACTGTAACGATCGAATTTAGAATTGGCTTCTGTGAGCTGTTTCTTCAGGTCCAAAATCTCCAGCTGATTATCTAGTTTAGTGAATTCTATAGCTCATTGAAAGATTCTTCCAGTTCTTTGAGTTGTCTTTTAAGTACACTTGCACGTCTTCAGCTATCACAGATTCTGCTTCGGCTAGTGCCTCCTCATATGTCTCTTCTTGAATAGGCCTCATTTCACGTCCGGATGATTCTTCTTTGGGTGGATAATTTTTCAATGGCATATACCCTAGGGATGCTTTTTTAGGTGATACGTTGCCAGTGTCCAAAAGTATGACGTCTTAATGTTTTTTTCGGTGTTGATGCCGAGGCTCCCATTTGAAAGCGCCCGACAATAGATACTTCCGTTTTTAGTCTTTCTATCTCGAGCAGATACTCTTGTTTGCTTTTATCCATCTCTTTTAGCTTAATTGCCTGCTTTTGAGCCGAGTTTCGAGATCGCGAGTCAAGTTCTGATATCCTTGAAGTGTCTCTTCTGTAGCTGACAAGATGTTTACTTTCGTTTTATTTTGACAGTTTTAGTGCTTTGGGCGAATTCTGGTGTAGATCTAGTCTCCTCTCTGCAGCTAAAGTAACATTCCCGATAATCAATGATTTGGCATTACCGCCAAGAGCCTGTGAGAGCAGTCTAGTCAATTTCGAATCGCGATAACTGATAAACTCCTTCCCCTCGCTTAGTTGCCTTATCACATTTCCTAATACTGACAAAGATTTGTTTATGTTAGCCCCCTCTTTAAGACGCTCACCAGCAAGCTTTCGTCAGAGAAACTCTCTCAGAACCAGCTAAGTCCATTAAGTTAAGGTAGCTTATATGTACAGGTCCATCTTTCTGATTGGCATCTTTCGACTCCAGAATAATCCGGAAAATCGTGTGTGATCGAGATGACCTCTCATTCATGCGAGTAGCTGCAACTCGTCTGATCTTATTGCCCTGCATCATGTTCTCATAACTTTATCAACATTGTCTACGACAGCTTCCCTTGCATCAAGCAGCACATTTCCTTTGATATCTTCTCTTATAGTTAAACCCTGATTGCTCTTATCCAGGAGGTCATTGATCTTTTCATTGTAGATTTCAATATAAATGGCATCTAATCAAGTACCTCTTATCAACCTGGTCTGCCACATGCTGGAATAACTGATTGGATACTAATTGGAAAAGCCCAGGATCTGTTTTGTTGCCCAAAATGGTGTGTGTTTTGCCAGAAGATGTTTTGGCCATATGCAAATATTGTGGCATTGAAACCTTCCATGAAGGAATCGACTAAAGGTTTTACTACAGATCCATATACATCTGAATTTGTACATTCCTGCTTAAATACATGGTCGAATATATAAACCTCTCCATGGCGAGCTACTTTCATCGGCTTCCCATATGCAGTTTACTCTTACGTTCCAAAGACGCTCTAGACCATCGGCTACTTCGCGGTGGATCATTGGTCTGATCTTTGTGGCTACTTTAATATTGTCGGAAGTCATTTGGAAGCTTGAACTGAAATTTAATTAGAACTAGGCTATTTCACGGGTTATAAAGAGGGGCACTTTTCATAATCCAGATTTCGTTTTGGCATTCCAGTTCAGCCATTTGATCCTGAAGCTCTTTTATAGTAGAATCATTATGGCATCGTATATCTGAGATTTTAAATGAGTGGTTGACCTCACGTTGGTTACTCTCGTCCATCAGACTCTTTACGTCATTTCTCAGTTTAGATTCAAGTTCTTTTAGGAAGCCCATTTCATCTTTGCAGTTCAGCAATGTGTGACATCGTTACATCAGTTTGTGTAGCAGCACTTAAAGAATCTTGCATATCTTCGTACTCAGCGTCAAGCATAGCTTCTAAGTCTGCAACCTTCTTTTTTGACTCAAATTTGAGCTTCAAGAGATGGTTTAGGGCTCTCTGATCTTCCTAGGTTCTTCAGTTGAGTACGCAGCATCTCTATTTCTGACTCGTATGTTTTAGTCTTTTTATTATTTTTTTCCAGAAAATCGAGTCTGTATTGCAAGTCGATGAAATTCTTGCGCTTTTTTGAGAATTTTTTTGAACTCTTTCTATTTTTCTTCGTTGTACGCCTCCGTTACTTGGCGGAGTTCCTGACTGTAACGATCGATTTAGAATTGGCTTCTGTGAGCTGTTTCTTCAGGTCCAAAATCTCCAGCTGATTATCTAGTTTAGTGAATTCTCTAAGCTCATTGAAAGATTCTTCCAGTTCTTTGCGTTGTCTTTTAAGTACACTTGCACGTCTTCAGCTATCACAGATTCTGCTTCGGCTAGTGCCTCCTCATATGTCTCTTCTTGAATAGGCCTCATTTCACGTCCGGATGATTCTTCTTTGGGTGGATAATTTTTCAATGGCATATACCCTAGGATGCTTTTTTAGGTGATACTTGCCATAGTGTCCAAAAGTATGACGTCTTAATGTTTTTTTCGGTGTTGATGCCGAGGCTCCCATTTGAAAGCGCCCGACAATAGATACTTCCGTTTTTAGTCTTTCTATCTCGAGCAGATACTCTTGTTTGCTTTTATCCATCTCTTTTAGCTTAATTGCCTGCTTTTTGAGCCGAGTTTCGAGATCGCGAGTCAAGTTCTGATATCCTTGAAGTGTCTCTTCTGTAGCTGACAAGATGTTTACTTTCGTTTTATTTTGACAGTTTTAGTGCTTTGGGCGAATTCTGGGTGTAGATCTAGTCTCCTCCTCTGCAGCTAAAGTAACATTCCCGATAATCAATGATTTGGCATTACCGCCAAGAGCCTGTGAGAGCAGTCTAGTCAATTTCGAATCGCGATAACTGATAAAACTCCTTCCCCTCGCTTAGTTGCCTTATCACATTTCCTAATACTGACAAAGATTTGTTTATGTTAGCCCCCTCTTTAAGACGCTCACCAGCAGCTTTCGTCAGAGAAACTCTCTCAGAACCAGCTAAGTCCATTAAGTTAAGGTAGCTTATATGTACAGGTCCATCTTTCTGATTGGCATCTTTCGACTCCAGAATAATCCGGAAAATCGTGTGTGATCGAGATGACCTCTCATTCATGCGAGTAGCTGCAACTCGTCTGATCTTATTGCCCTGCATCATGTTCTCCATAACTTTATCAACATTGTCTACGACAGCTTCCCTTGCATCAAGCAGCACATTTCCTTTGATATCTTCTCTTATAGTTAAACCCTGATTGCTCTTATCCAGGAGGTCATTGATCTTTTCATTGTAGATTTCAATATAACTGCATCTAATCAAGTACCTCTTATCAACCTGGTCTGCCACATGCTGGAATAACTGATTGGATACTAATTGGAAAAGCCCAGGATCTGTTTTATTGCCCAAAATGGTGTGTGTTTTGCCAGAAGATGTTTGGCCATATGCAAATATTGTGGCATTGAACCTTCCATGAAGGAATCGACTAAAGGTTTTACTACAGATCCATATACATCTGAATTTGTACATTCCTGCTTAAATACATGGTCGAATATATAAACCTCTCCATGGCGACTACTTTCATCGGCTTCCCATATGCAGTTTACTCTTACGTTCCAAAGACGCTCTAGACCATCGGCTACTTCGCGGTGGATCATTGGTCTGATCTTTGTGGCTACTTTAATATTGTCGGAAGTCATTTTGGAAGCTTGAACTGAAATTTAATTAGAACTAGGGCTATTTCACGGGTTATAAAGAGGGGCACTTTCATAATCCAGATTTCGTTTTGGCATTCCAGTTCAGCCATTTGATCCTGAAGCTCTTTTATAGTAGAATCATTATGGCATCGTATATCTGAGATTTTAAATGAGTGGTTGACCTCACGTTGGTTACTCTCGTCCATCAGACTCTTTACGTCATTTCTCAGTTTAGATTCAAGTTCTTTTAGGAAGCCAATTTTCATCTTGCAGTTCAGCAATGTGTGACATCGTTACATCAGTTTGTGTAGCAGCACTTAAAGAATCTTGCATATCTTCGTACTCAGCGTCAAGCATAGCTTCTAAGTCTGCAACCTTCTTTTTTGACTCAATATTTTGAGCTTCAAGAGATGGTTTAGGGCTCTCTGATCTTCCTAGGTTCTTCAGTTGAGTACGCAGCATCTCTATTTCTGACTCGTATGTTTTTAGTCTTTTTATTATTTTTTTCCAGAAAATCGAGTCTGTATTGCAAGTCGATGAAATTCTTGCGCTTTTTGAGAATTTTTTTGAACTCTTTCTATTTCTTCGTTGTACGCATCCGTTACTTGGCGGAGTTCCTGACTGTAACGATCGATTTTAGAATTGGCTTCTGTGAGCTGTTTCTTCAGGTCCAAAATCTCCAGCTGATTATCTAGTTTAGTGAATTCTCTAAGCTCATTGAAAGATTCTTCCAGTTCTTTGCGTTGTCTTTTAAGTACACTTGCACGTCTTCAGCTATCACAGATTCTGCTTCGGCTAGTGCCTCCTCATATGTCTCTTCTTGAATAGGCCTCATTTCACGTCCGGATGATTCTTCTTTGGGTGGATAATTTTTCAATGGCATATACCCTAGGGATGCTTTTTTAGGTGATACGTTGCCATAGTGTCCAAAAGTATGACGTCTTAATGTTTTTTTCGGTGTTGATGCCGAGGCTCCCATTTGAAAGCGCCCGACAATAGATACTTCCGTTTTTAGTCTTTCTATCTCGAGCAGATACTCTTGTTTGCTTTTATCCATCTCTTTTAGCTTAATTGCCTGCTTTTTGAGCCGAGTTTCGAGATCGCGAGTCAAGTTCTGATATCCTTGAAGTGTCTCTTCTGTAGCTGACAAGATGTTTACTTTCGTTTTATTTTGACAGTTTTAGTGCTTTGGGCGAATTCTGGTGTAGATCTAGTCTCCTCCTCTGCAGCTAAAGTAACATTCCCGATAATCAATGATTTGGCATTACCGCCAAGAGCCTGTGAGAGCAGTCTAGTCAATTTCGAATCGCGATAACTGATAAACTCCTTCCCCTCGCTTAGTTGCCTTATCACATTTCCTAATACTGACAAAGATTTGTTTATGTTAGCCCCCTCTTTAAGACGCTCACCAGCAGCTTTCGTCAGAGAAACTCTCTCAGAACCAGCTAAGTCCATTAAGTTAAGGTAGCTTATATGTACAGGTCCATCTTTCTGATTGGCATCTTTCGACTCCAGAATAATCCGGAAAATCGTGTGTGATCGAGATGACCTCTCATTCATGCGAGTAGCTGCAACTCGTCTGATCTTATTGCCCTGCATCATGTTCTCCATAACTTTATCAACATTGTCTACGACAGCTTCCCTTGCATCAAGCAGCACATTTCCTTTGATATCTTCTCATAGTTAAACCCTGATTGCTCTTATCCAGGAGGTCATTGATCTTTTCATTGTAGATTTCAATATAACTGCATCTAATCAAGTACCTCTTATCAACCTGGTCTGCCACATGCTGGAATAACTGATTGGATACTAATTGGAAAAGCCCAGGATCTGTTTTATTGCCCAAAATGGTGTGTGTTTTGCCAGAAGATGTTTGGCCATATGCAAATATTGTGGCATTGAAACCTTCCATGAAGGAATCGACTAAAGGTTTTACTACAGATCCATATACATCTGAATTTGTACATTCCTGATTAAATACATGGTCGAATATATAAACCTCTCCATGGCGACTACTTTCATCGGCTTCCCATATGCAGTTTACTCTTACGTTCCAAAGACGCTCTAGACCATCGGCTACTTCGCGGTGGATCATTGGTCTGATCTTTGTGGCTACTTTAATATTGTTGGAAGTCATTTTGGAAGCTTGAACTGAAATTTAATTAGAACTAGGGCTATTTCACGGGTTATAAAGAGGGGCAGATGTATCAGGTTGATACATTCTTTTTTTCCTCCTTTCCAGTATAGAAGATTTTTTTCTCTTGTAGGCTATGAATGCGGTCCGATAGTTTAGTAGAGCTACATTTACAGGGTGACTCAAAATCAAAGAAG